ATTTGATATTGTTTGTTTTCATCATGTCAATTTGATATTGTTTGTTTTATTATGTTAATTTGATATTGTTTGTTTTCATCATGTCAATTTGATATTGTTTGTTTTATTATGTTTGCTTATGTTTATATTGTTTGTTTTCATGATATTAATTTGATATTGTTTGTTTTCATGATCTTAATTTGATATTGTTTGTTTTCGTCATGTTAATTTGATACTGTTTGTTTTCGCGACCTTTTTAATAGATATTGTATGTTCTCGTGATGTTGATTTGATATTTTTATTTTCGTGACGTTAACTTGATATTGCTTATTTTCCTAATGTTAATATGATATTTTTATTCTCGTGATGTTAACTTGATATTGTTTGTTTTCCTAATGTTAATTTGATATTGTTTGTTTTCATAATGTTAATTTGATATTGTTTGTTTTCATAATGTTAATTTGATATTGTTTGTTTTCATCATGTTAATTTGATATTGTTATTCTCCTGACGTTAATTTGATATTGTTTGTTTTCCTAATGTTAATTTGATATTGTTTGTTTTCATCATGTTAATTTGATGTTTTTATTCTCTTGACGTTAATTTGATATTGTTTATTTTCATAATGTTAATTTGATATTGTTTATTTTCATAATGTTAATTTGGTGTTGTTTATTTTCATAATGTTAATTTGATATTGTCTATTCTCCTGTATTTAATTTGATATTGTTTGTTTTCCTAATGTGAATTTGATATTGTTTATTTTCATAATGTTAATTTGATATTGTTTATTTTCATAATGTTAATTTGATATTGTCTATTCTCCTGTATTTAATTTGATATTGTTTATTTTCATAATGTTAATTTGATATTGTCTATTCTCCTGGCGTCAACTTGTTAGTTTATTCTCCTGTATTTAATTTGATATTGTTTGTTTTCCTAATGTGAATTTGATAGTGTTTGTTTTCATAATGTTAATTTGATATTGTTTGTTTTCATCATGTTAATTTGATATTTTTATTCTCGTGATGTTAACTTGATATTGTTTGTTTTTCTAATGTTAATTTGATATTGTTTGTTTCATCATGTTAATTTGATATTGTTTGTTTTCATCATGTTAACTTGATATTGTTTGTTTTCCTAATGTTAATTTGATATTGTTTGTTTTCCTCATGTTAATTTGATATTTTTATTATCTTGACGTTAATTTGATATTGTTTATTTTCATAATGTTAATTTGATATTGTCTATTCTCCTGGTGTCAACTTGTTAGTTTATTCTCCTGTATTTAATTTGATGTTGTTTGTTTTCCTAATGTGAATTTGATATTGTTTGTTTTCATCATGTTAATTTGATATTGTTTGTTTTCATCATGTTAATTTGATATTGTTTATTTTCATCATGTTAATTTGATATTTTTATTCTCGTGATGTTAACTTGATATTGTTTGTTTTCCTAATGTTAATTTGATATTGTTTGTTTTCATCATGTTAATTTGATATTTTTATTATCTTGACGTTAATTTGATATTGTTTATTTTCATAATGTTAATTTGATATTGTCTATTCTCCTGGTGTCAACTTGTTAGTTTATTCTCCTGTATTTAATTTGATGTTGCCTTTTATTGTGATGTAAATTTAATATTGTTTGTTTTCGTGAGACTCACACTCGACCTAAGATGTTCGGTTCGTCTTCACGTGCATGGTACTCGTCGGCTGCTTTGTCTCCTTTCCGTTTTCTGGAGAAGATGATAAAGGCGCAACCAGACGAGAGGTACACAGAAAACACAACCCAAGCTAAGCCAAACGAATACCCGTATCTCCAGATCGATCCCTTCGGGTGACGAACCCTCAAAAAATGTTCTTCGTATCGAACGGAATTAGTAAGGACCTCGATGACAACCAGAACTGTTGCAGCTGTCAGAAGGTAAAAAAAAAAAAAAAATTAAGTAAACTTAATTCAACCTTCTTGAAAGTATGATCATAAAAGTATCACTTTTAACATAAAGAGCGATTTAATTATTTTATTATTCACAAAATATGTGTGCAGCGTATGATAAATTATCTTAACCAAATTGGACGTCTGCTTTGGATCTAAATCCCGACACTCATATTACGTTGGGGGGTTAGTAATTAATTTCCTTGTCACTTTCTACTTTATGTGCAGCGAAGGGGTTATAGTCTGATGATTTACGCGGGTAATATATTGAAATGTTATTTGTAATTTGTTTGTTTTTTTTAGTACAAAGCCACACAATGGGCTATCTTTGCTGTGCCCACCCGAGGTTATCGTAACCAGGTTATCAGCGTTCTAAACCTTCAGACTTACCACTGAGCCACTGAGAGGTATTTGCAACTTGACCAGCTGAAGGTTTAGTTAGAACTGGAATTGGCCTAGTGGTTACCATTCTCGGACTCGGAATCTGAGGGTTCTGAGTTCGCGACCCGTTGCCATTTAAAAGGCGTTCTGCACTTCGGTGCCGTAGGTATGCTATAAGAGTGACAGTTAAATCCCACTGTTTGATTAGAGTATCTCAAGATTTAGCGGTATGGAGTTGTTGTTTGCTATAAAGCATAAAACTACACATCTGCCCACCACGGATATCGAACCCCCCCTCCCCCGTCTTCTAGCAGTATAAGTCCGCAGCCATACCACTGTGCCACTGGGGGGGGGGGGAGGTGTATGCAAAGATACTTTGTGATCAGCGAAAATTTCAAAACAAACAGAGGCTCCGTTTTCTGCCTTCTTGATCGTTTGACTCGACGATTCTATGGACCAAGAAATCATAGTTCTATTTATAAAACTATTGTTTTTGTAGTTAAAAGTTTATTTTGGTTGTTTAATGTATTGAAACTGTTCAAATGTATGGTCGAGCAGACAATAAGTGCATTCTTTAGAAGCTTGTGCATTTGCAAATTAATTAGTAACTCAAGAGAAAAGTTGTCATAAGCTCGTGTTTATTGCTTCTTATTCTTTATGTTCGTACGGCAATAAAAGACAAGACTTTGCCATTTAAGTGCGAAGTGTTTTCATTCACATTCCAACTGCTGGTATAATGACGTTTACTAATTACTAGGCTGGAGAGAAGAAGCAGAAACCATTGAAATTAATCTTCAGTAAAGGAGTTATGCGTTATTCAACGGCATCTATTCAGTTACTTATGGAATAAAACAGTCAAATAAGATGTTGCAATAATTTCAAAATTTGCATATTAGTTTTCCGATATATAAATGTTTATACGTATGTGTGTGTGTGTTTGTTTGTTTATTATGCAGTTAAGTGTAAGGTAACATTGGTTGAAGTTGAGAGAGTGTGAGAAAGCGGCCAGCCTTTGGTCAGCATTCGAGGAATTATGGGATTATAGTACTTTAAGTCGTTGGAAAATTACTGGAGGTCGTCTTTCTAAGTTCATCCGATATGAAGAATACAAGATCCTATAGTTATCAAACGTTACAATGCGATATATGTGGAATAGGTATAAGGTCAGAAAGAATGGGACTGGTTCAGCATGAGTTTGAGAAAGGAGTATAAAAAGACAGGAGTTCAACGAAAAAAAAACAAGACCGAGAGATGTGAGAGGGAATGAATAGACCAACAAATGCAAAGGAAGAAAGTAATATGATGCCAGTAAGAAACACAACCTAGTTCCAAATCTCTGTGTTATTGATTACCAGTAATAAACAAGTATTGGTTATGTTTATATTGGTATGAGTCAATTCCTGATAGGAATAAGTACATCGTAAATAAAGTTCATGTGTTGAATTTCGCTACACGAGGGCTATTTGACCTAGCCGTCCCTAATTTAACAGTGGAAGACTGAAGGGAAGACAGCTATTCATCACCACCCACCGCCAACTCTTGGGCTACTCTTTTACCAACGAATAGTAGGATTGACCATCACATTATAATGCCCCCACATCTGAAAGGGCGTAGAATTGACCGTAACATTATAACGCCCCACGAATGAAAGGGCGAGCATGTTTGATGAGACGGGGATTCGAACCCACGACCCTCAGATTGCGAGTCAAGCGCCCTAATCACCTGGCCATGCCCCATGAAAAGGAAAAGCGAAGTGCGTGAATAGCATAATCATACCAATGTTGCATCTTTTGTTCTTGTATTTTACAATAGTAAAATCAGAAGGTCGATTCCCTACGCCAGACGGAGCGCACATAAGCCACCCATTACTTATCTTTGAAATAAAACAAAAACAAGAACATTTTATCTCCTGGTGGATCAGTGGTAAGTTAACGGACTTAAACCGCTAATATCCGGGGATATAATCCACGAGGTGGACGTAGATAGCTCATACAAGACAGGCAAACCTTGTATATATATTTTTTTCTTTAAGTTCCATACAGTCCAGTAGTGATTTAACAATCATTGCATAATTAATAAAGCTACGCGTATAAGTTTCTATTTGAATGTGTAAAACAGCAACGACTTCGTTTATACTTATAGTATTACAAAAAAAAAAAAGTTACTTGAAACAAATCATGTGAGGAAACCTGCCCAGTTTGCTGATTGTTGAAACACAATAAATCACGAAACTCTTGCTTCCTTATAATGTTGTACTTGACATGACTTACAGATTAACAAACGATTGATCTTGTAATGTTATGAAAAGTGTAAGGCCAAGATGAGATGATCCTATTATTTAATATGCTCTGAACATATACGAGTCAAAAGTGCGAAGCCACCGAGCCACGCTGTCCCCAGTGTATTCCTTCACAACCATCTGGCTATATATATATATACATAATTACGAGTCAAAAGTGCGAAGTTACCGAGCCACGCTGTCCCCTACGTATTCCTTCACAACCATCTGGCTATATATATATAGGAATACGTAGTGGACAGCGTGGCTCGGTAACTTCGCACTTTTGACAAGTATATGTATGTATGTATATATATATATATATATTTAGCCAGATGGTTGTGAAGGAATACGTAGGGGACAGCGTGGCTCGGTAACTTCGCACTTTTGACACGTATAAGTATGTAACTTATGAACCTGTGAGCTTGAGGATTTATAAAGCTAAAATCTTGGTTTAATACCAGCGGTATGATCAGCGCAGATAGCTCATGCTATCACATAAGCGGAAAAACAGCGTACATTATATTCCTCTCTGGTGTCAAAATCTGACGAAACTTGAAGTAAAAATGTAGGAGTAAAAGTCAAACTATTTACACCGTGTCTCTAGAACTCAGCAGTTCGTCTACGGATCTTTTTCATTTAAGTTTCCGTTTCGTTTTTTAGTTATTTCACGTTTAACAGAAAAAGAGCTTGTCTGGCAACCGCTCTTTTATGAAAGTTTTCTCGTGTCATGACTCGGCTGTTGATTCAAACAAAAGGCACGCTCTTGTAATGAGATCTTTAAAGAAGGAAAAACAAACAAGTAATTACTGTATTATTCCAGTATGGAGACTTCCATTTCTCGCATCTAACAAATATATTATTTCAGAACGATAAGAACTGACCTCTCCATGAGCCATTCATCCTCTCGATTCTTTGTGGATCTACAAATAAGTTCTATATAAATGTTGTTTTACTTACTTTATTTGATAAAGACACATAGTTTACGAAACTGATAGTAAACCACAATACGATAACGTTACAAAACTGATATTACTCTTTGAAATCAAACATTTAATATATAGTCTCTAAGAAAAATGTATACATGGTTTCATGACAATTGGAAATCACGCAGGATCAACGATAAATAAATCACACAATAACAAACCCAATAACCCTAGTCTGGTATCTCTTTATACACAGTTTTATATTATTTGAGATGTGGAACTAAGGGAAAGTAAAGATGTTATTATGGTAAATTTCAAATCTTACCTGTTGATCTTGTATTGAGAGAATGAAAATATTCTACATACAAAATAACAATTTCTAATGAGTTATTAATGGTAAAAGTTTTAGTTTCTTCGGTTGTTTGAAACAGAATATTATTGGTAAGTTAAAATTGAACATTCTGAGTTTTTTCAAACTCTGTACCGTTTCATTCTGGACTTTCTAGAACATTCATTAGGTGAGGAGACACTCCTCTGTAAGAAGCTTTGTATCCGTTCAAGAAGAGGTCCTAATTTCCTGACCATACGTGTAGTAGATACCGGCATTCTTGGGGATCCACTTATAAAGGGTTTCTAATTTCCTAACACTACGTGTAGCAGATACCGGCATTCTTGGGTATCCACTTATAAAGGGTTTCTAATTTCCTAACACTACGTGTAGTAGATACCGGCATTCTTGGGTATCCACTTATAAAGGGTTTCTAATTTCCTAACACGACGTGTAGTAGATACCGGCATTCTTGGGTATCCACTTATAAAGGGTTCCTAATTTCCTGACCATACGTGTAGTAGATACCGGCATTCTTGGGTATCCACTTATAAAGGGTTTCTAATTCCCTAACACAACGTGTAGTAGATAACGACATTCTTGGGTATCCACTTATAAAGGGTTTCTAATTTCCTAACACTACGTGTAGTAGATACCGGCATTTTTGGGTATCCACTTATAAAGGGTTTCTAATTTCCTAACAGTACGTGTAGTAGATAACGGTATTCTTGGGTATCCACTTATAAAGGGTTTCTGATTTCCCAACACTACGTGCAGTAGATAACGGCATTCTTGGGTATCCACTTATAAACGGTTTCTAATTTCCTAACACTAAGTGTAGTAGATACCGGTATTCATGTACACGGACTTGCAATTCATTAGCTTAACATTAGGAGAAAACAGTAAATTAATGAGATTATTATTTCTTCAGAGAAAGTGCTGTCATGAGCATTTTTATCACACTGAATGAGAAGCATCTATAAAACATGAGGTTAAAATTTCATACTTTGCTGAAATTAGTTGACAAAAACAAGCTACCTGTCATAAAGTGGATTCCTCCGGCTAGTCTCTTGAACATGTACCTGGGCTCTGCAAATGTGTACAAGTTACCTGTCATAAAGTGGACTCCTCCGGCCAGTCTCTGGAACATATACCTGGGTTCTGTAAATGTGTACAAGTTACCTGTCATAAAGTGGACTCCTCCGGCTAGTCTCTTGAACATGTACCTTAATCCACTTTATAACAGGTAACTTTTACACATTTACAGAACCCAGGTACATGTTCCAGAGACTAGCCGGAGGAGTCCACTTTATAACAGGTAACTTTTACACATTTACAGAACCCAGGTACATGTTCCAGAGACTAGCCGGAGGAATCCACTTTATAACAGGTAACTTTTACACATTTACAGAACCAAGGTATATGTTCCAGAGACTAGCCGGAGGAATCCACTTTATAACAGGTAACTTTTACACATTTACAGAACCCAGGTACATGTTCCAGAGACTGGCCGGAGGAGTCGACTTTATGACAGGTAACTTTTACACATTTACAGAACCGCCTCCGGCTAGTCTCTGGAACATGTACCTGGGTTCTGTAAATGTGTAAAAGTTACCTGTTATAAAGTGGACTCCTCCGGCTAGTCTCTTGAACATGTACCTGGGTTCTGTGAATGTGTAAACAGAAAACCCAACACCCATCAACATCAAACACAAACTGATGACAGAGAAAGCTGTTTCCGTTCTTGTGTAATCTGAGAAATACATAATACCAATCTTGATAATATATATATAACACATTAACAAACACGTGAAATTAACAATTGATTAATGATAACATTGATTGTAAATTGTTGTCCAAGTTTCAACAAACACACATACATGGTAATAATCTGTGGTTTAAGTTTCAACAAACACACATACACGGTAATAATCTGTGGTCTAAGTTTCAACAAACACACATACACGGTAATAATATGTGGTCTAAGTTTCAACAAACACACATACATGGTAATAATCTGTGGTTTAAGTTTCAACAAACACACATACACGGTAATAATATGTGGTCTAAGTTTCAACAAACACACATACATGGTAATAATCTGTGGTTTAAGTTTCAACAAATAAACATACATGGTAATAATCTGTGGTCTAAGTTTCAACAAACACACATACATGGTAATAACCTGTTGTCCAAGTTTCAACAAACAAACATACATTGTAATAGTCTGAGGTCTAAGTTTCAACAAATAAACATACATGGTAATAATCTGTGGTCTAAGTTTCAACAAACAAATACACACGGTAATAACCTGTTGTCCAAGTTTCAACAAACAAACATACACGGTAATAATCTGTGGTCTAAGTTTCAACAAACAAATACACAGGTAATAATCTGTGGTCTAAGTTTCAACAAACACACATACACGGTAATAATCTGTGGTCTAAGTTTCAACAAACACACATACACGGTAATAATCTGTGGTCTAAGTTTCAACAAACACACATACACGGTAATAATCTGTGGTCTAAGTTTCAACAAACACACATACACGGTAATAATATGTGGTCTAAGTTTCAACAAACACACATACATGGTAATAATCTGTGGTTTAAGTTTCAACAAACACACATACACGGTAATAATCTGTGATAGCTATTTGTTTCCTGTAAGCACTTTACTGTGCTAAACCTTATGTCTTCAGGTGGGACTTGTTTAATACATCTTAGTAACGCTAGGTGAATCATTCAAGCCCATTCGCTTTAATTATAAACAAGACTTAACGTTTAGAGTTATATTTTTTAAAAACCGTTGTAGTGAGCTTGGTATTAGCATCACACACACATCAGTGGATTTCCATAGACGTAGATTCGTATAAGAACTATAATGGCTAATAGGTTTACTAATTTTAAACATTCCATTAATAACTGGTCCAGAATGAATCTCCAGAAGGAAAGGTGAATGAACAGAAATTACGAGCACACCTTTTAGTAAGCTGCTGACAAACGTCCAACCAGTAAGACGATTTGTCAACATTAGTAATATATATCAATAATTTGTACGCATCAGCTCGTAACAAAAGTATATGACAAAATTAATGATTAATTGTGCTAATTGTAATTAATCTGGAGACACAAACGACTTGTCGACTGTAGCAGCACCAAACGTACTAATTGCTATCCCAACGGTAGTTTCTGACAGCTGCATCTCGAATATGTATTTTGTAAGTAGTTGTTGTACTAGCTGATGGTATATGTATATATACACAACACTTCGCAACCGTTAAAGACTCGTTGACGTTCATTAACTTATAACACTTCACAACCATTAGAGACTCTTTGACGTTCATTAACTGTGGTGTCTTTGTAAGGAAGTTAAGCCTCTTGAGCGATTTCTGAGATAGCGTTTAAAACTGATAAGCGACGCTTCTAATCAAAAATCGTAACACTTGTTTAGAGCCAGTAAATGTCTACGTTACATCTCTGAGAGAGATGATAACATTTAACAGAAAAGTTCCCTGCGTATCTTAATGTAAGCTAATGCAGAGTACATGCTAACGTCAAGATATCAGTGTGAAATCTTGCTGAAATAAGCTTTTAGGCTGGAAATTTCTTTCTTTTCCAAATCTGCTTTTATTATGTTATACAAATTTATTAAGATATACCGTTTAAGTGAAATATTAATTCTTCGTGGCTAATTTGTTTATTTTCTGAGCTATATTCCTAAACTGATGCAAATAATATCTACAGCTTTCATGCAACTACGTTTATTAACAAGGAAAACTTACCATGGCTTCGTTTACAACAGTGATTGGTTTATTAATATTGTTCAACTTTAAAGAATCTCATATCAAAATATAATTTCAAAGTTACATCAAGTAGGAATGTCTATGAGTTTCAGATGTGTTTGAAATTGATATAATTATCATATATTCCTGCCCAATACGAGTAAGATCTCAGACAAATAATTTATTTAAAAAGTTTTGCTATCTATACCGGACGTGAACAACCCTGCCTTTTTAAATTATAAGACTCCTAGTTACATATTAAAAACACAACAACGTAAAACAACAATACCATTAATCCTCTTGTGTGTTTCTACGTAAAATAAAAAAAAGAGATATTTCACCCAATTATTATTGTAATTTTTTTACACTTAGTATTGTAAGAAGCAAGAACATTGACTTATGCAATACGTAAACCATACCGTTAATAAAATGTATAAAAACATTTCGTTAATTTGGGGGCAGATAAAACAATATATGACTGAAATGTAATTCAAACAAACAAATTTTTAATACAAGCTCTTATCTGCTATATAAAGCAAAGAGTGTGTGTGTGTGTGTGTGTGTGTGTCCGGGAAAAAATACATTGTCGTATATCTATCATTTCATATCTGTTCCTTATACGTCTCCACACTTCTTGATAAATCCGCACCAAACTCTATACAGTGATACAGGATGACACGAGGAAGATCATGAAGGGGTGGGGGTTAAACCCCACATCTTCTATGTAATTAAACGTCAATACGTGCGAGTATCTGTTCCTTACACGTTGTCACATTTCTTGATCAATGAACACCAAACTTGACACAGTGATATAGGATGATATGAGGGAGGCCATGAGGAGGGTTTGATAGAATTCTTGAAAAAAGTATGTCTTTCTTTTTAGTATTGGTACCTTTATGTATTTGTATTGCATTTGTAATGTTTATTATGTAAAAACAAAAATAGAAGCACAATTTCCTATCCGTTGTTTCAAATGAGTTTTGATTTAATCCGTCCAACGGACGGGTACTCCAGCTAGTAGTACATAAGGCTCTTACTGACGAAGCATGATTCGTAGATGGGTAGCTTGTGTGGTATTACATTATAATAAGACTAGTAACAGCCTTATTGTGATGCATTATCAAACAAGACAACGATCAACCTATATTAAAGGATAATCGAACAATTTAATTGGTGACAATATTGAATCTATTTTTACTCTAAAAGGCAGTTCTGGATAGCTTCATGAATTTTGAGCCATAAATACTCAAAAGGCTGACATAATAATACCTTGTGTTTGGTTAATCATCTCAAAAGGCTGACATAATAACACCTTGTGTTTGGTTAATCATTAGTCCTGTCGTGAGTATGCATTTACACCCACATTTCCTCGAATATTTAATGCCAGTTAAAATGTCATTATGTCTTTAGAGACGCAAAAAAGAAAAGTCAGATATTTTGTTTTATATTGATAAGTGCCAGAATAATTTAAAAATAAAACATATATATGAATTAATCTCTCTTTTATTTCAATGATTCTTTATGATTCAGTAAATATTCTTATACCAACACCTTGATAGCTTTGATCAAATTATCAATAAATCCAATATCCTAGATTTGACTGGTTGACTCGGGGTTTTATATATATATATATATCTCATGAAACATTTTAGTTTTTAATACCTTTACAGCTTTACAGGGTAGTCATCGTATTCGCCCTCGTTTCTAGGAGAATAAATGGAAATTGGACATATAAGTATCCAAGTTAGTCTTTAATTTTTTCACGTACATTTGGATCGATATTCTTTTATCGTCCAAAAATGATTCTAAATCCCGAAGTTTTTGGGTTTTTTTGTAGATGTTTGAACCTATTATTCTTTAAGGAAGAGATCCATGAGTGGCAATGTTCGTTTGCTTATGTCTTAATAAGTTCTAAGTGTGACGTAATAACATAGAAAATCAATGACATTTTACTTATTTGAAATACTAATCCAGATACAGATTGACAAAATCTGAAAATAGAAAAAATTAGTCAAGATTTCTACCAAACAACCAATATGTAATGAAGGTCATCTTGCCGAAACAGTGACTTTTTTTCTTTACAGTTATTTTCTTATTTGCCCACCCCCAGTGGCACAGCAACAAGTCTGCGTACTTATAACGCTAGAAACCGGGTTTCGACACCCAGGTTGGCCACCGCACAGCTAGCTCAATGTGCTTAATTAATTGTCTTTCACACAAGTATTCTTAGAGCTTTTCTGTTTGTTTGTTTGTTTTAAATTTCGCGCAAAGCTACACGAGGGCTATCTGCGCTAACCGTCCCTAATTTAGCAGTGTAAGACTAGAGGGAAGGCAGCTAGTCATCACCACCCACCGCCAACTCTTGGGCTACTCTTTTACCAACGAATAGTGGGATTGACCGTCACATTATTACGCCCCCACGGCTGGAAGGGTGAGCATATTTGGTGGGACGGGGATTCGAACCCGCGACCCTCAGATTGCGAGTCGAGCTCCCTAACCACCTGGCCATGCTGGGCCGAGCTTCTCTGAATAGACGGATTACAAAATCCTTTTTCGCGATAAATATTACAATTCATAAATTCTGTCATGTATTTTACTCCCCACAAAGGTTTGTTTGTTTGGTTTGTTTAGAATTTCGCGCAAAGGGAATGCAACACCACCCACCACCATCTCTTGGGCTACTCTTTACTAACAAATAATGGAACTAACCATCATATTTTTACGCCCCCCAAGGCTGAAAGGCAAGCATTTTCGGAGACAAGGATTCGAACCCACGACTCTCAGATTGCAAGTCGAGCGCCCTAGCCACCAGGCTATGCGAGGCTTCCCAACAAAGGAAACAGGTTACCATAAGCAAAAGTCTCACGTTTTTAATAGTACGACATTTTAAGAAGATTATATATATATATAATTTATAAGCACAGGAAAAGTAACGTCATTAATTTTCAAGAAATTATTAAAAGTAA